ATTGGCAAAAACTAAAAAGCTTTCCCACTAAGATCAGGAACAAGACAAGGGTGTCTACTTTCACCACTTCTACTCAACATTGTATGGGAAGTCCTAGCCACAGCAATCAAACAAGCAAAAGAAACAAGAGGCATCCAAATTGAAAAGGAGGAAGTAAAACTATCATTGTTTGCAGATGACACGATAGAGTACGTAGAAAACCCCATAGACTCCACCAAAAAAACTATTTGACCTAATAAGTGAATTTTGCAAGACAGCAGGATACAAAGTCAATATTCAGAAATTGAAGGCATTTTTGTATACCAAAAATGAAATATCAGAAACAGAACTCAGGAAAAAAAATCCCATTTGCTATAGCAACAAGGAAAATAAAGTACCAACAAATAAACCTAACCAAGGAGGTAAAAGACCTATACTCAGAAAACTATACAACACTGGAGAGAAATTAAGGAAGACACAAATAAATGGAAGCGTATACCATGATCATGGACTGGAAGAATTAACATAATCAAGATGTCCATACTACCAAAGCAATCTATAGATTCAATTGAATCCCTATTAAAATACCAATGACATATTTCACAGATATAGAACAAACATTTCAAAAATTTAAATTTAAAATTTAAAGAAAGAAGAACAAAGAAGGAGGGATCACAACCTGATATCAAACTATATTACAAGGCCATAGCAATAAAAACAATCTGGTACAAACATGAAAATAGACACATAGATCAATGGAACAGAATAGAGAGCCCAGAAATAAACCCATGTCTCTGTGGACAATTAATATTTGACAAAGGGAGCAGGAGCATAAAATGTAATAAAAATATCCTTTTCAGCAAATGGTGTTGGGAGATCTGGATAGCTACATGCAAAAAAAATGAAACTCGACCACCAACTTAAACCATATACAAAAATAAACTCAAGATGGATGAAAGACTTAAATATAAGTTACAATGCTATAAAAGTCCTGGAGCAGAACATAGGCAGGAAACCCTCAGAGATTCCACGCAACAATATTTTCACTGATATGTCCCCTAGATCAAGGAACATAAAGGGAAGAATAAACAAATGGGATTTCATCAAAATAAGAAGCTTCTGCATGGCTAAGGAGAGCATCAGCAAAATGAAAGGGGAACCGATCATATGAGGAAATATGTTTGTCAATAATACCTCGGACAAGGGTTTGATCTCCAAACTGTATAAAGCATTCACACGACTCCACTCCAGAAAGACAAACAATCCAATTAAAGAATGGGAAAACGACCTGAACAGACACTTCTCCAAGGAGGACACACAGAGGGCCCAGAGACATATGAAAGGATGCTCAGCATCACTAGCCATCAGAGAGATGCAAATTAAAACCACAATGAGATACCACTTCACACCAATCAAAATGGCCATCATAAACAAATCAACAAACAACAAGTGCTGGCCAGGTTGTAGAGAAAAGGGAACCCTAGTACACTGTAGGTGGGAATGCATACTAGAGCAGCCACTGTGGAAAACACCATGGAATTTCTTCAAAAAACTAAAAATGGAACTGCCTTTTGACCTTGCAATTCCACTGCTGGGATTATACCTAAAAATTCTGAAACACCAATTCAAAAGAACCTACACACCCCAATGTTCATAGCAGCACAATTTACAATAGTCAAGTGCTAGAAGCAACCTCAGTGCCCATCAGTAAATGAGTGGATCAAAATACTATGGTACATTTACACAATGGAATACTAGGCAGCAGAAAGAAAGAACCCTTCGCTATAGCATGGATGAAATTGGAGAGCATTATGCTAAATGAAATAAGCCCAGTGATGAAAGAAAAATACCATATGATATCATCTTTAAGTGGCACCTAATCAATAAAACAAACAAGCAAGCAAAATATAACTAGCAACATTGAAATAAAGAACAAACTGACAGTAACCAAGGGGCTGGGGGCAGAGAGGATAACAGGGGAAAGAAGGGAAAGGGTCGTCAAGGAACCTGTATAAAGGACCCATGTGTAAAGCCAAAGGTGGAGAGGATTGAAGGTGGGAGGCAGGGGTGGGTGGGGTGAGGGAGAGTGGTAGGGGGAAATGGAGACAACTGTACTTAAACAACAATAAAAAAAATACTGAGTCTTCGAGTCATGAATGTAGAATGTCTCTCCATTTACTTAGACCTTTTTAAATTTTTCTCAGTAATATTTTATAGTCTTGCGTTTGTGTCTTATTCTTTTAGATGTCATTGCGAATGAAGTTGTTTTCTCAATTTCATGTTTAGATTGTTTATTACTATTTTATAGAAATAAAATTGATTTTTGTATATTTTTAAAAATCCAATCAGAAACAAAGGATATACTAATTGAAATGAAGAACAATTTACAGGGAATGAACAGTAAAGTGAAAAAAACAGAATCAAATCAGTGGTTTGGAATATAAGGAAGCAAAAAACAACCAATCAGAACAGCAAAAAGAAAAAAGAAACTAAGAAAATTAAGATAGTGTAAGGAGCCTCTGGGGCAACTTCAAGCCTAGCAACTTTTGCATCATGGGGGTACTGGAAGGAAAAGAGAGACAGCAAAAATTTTGAAACCTGTTTTAAAAAAATGACAGAAAATTTCCCTAACTTCGTGAAGGAAATGGACATAAAAGTTTAGGAAGTGCAGATAATCCAAAACAAGATGAACCCAAAGAGGCTCACACCAAGACACATCATAATTAAAATGCCAAAGGTTAATGATGAAGAAAGAATGTTAAAAGCATCCATGCAGAGAAAAGCAGTTAGTTGCCAACAGGGGAGTGCCTATAAGACCATCAGCTGATTTCTCAACAGGAACTTTGCAGGGCAGAATGGATTGGCAAGAAATACTCGAAGTGATGAAAAGCAAGTACCTACAACCAAGATTATTCTATCTAGATAAAGCTATTATTTAGAATCAAAGGACAGATAAGGAGCTTCCCAAACAAGAAAAAGCCAAAGGGGTTCATCACCATCAAATCAGTGTTTATGAAATGTTAAAGGGTCTTCTTGAAGATCAAAAATATGAACAATAAAACAGCAATAAATACATATCTATCAACAACTGACTGAAAAACGGAATAAATGAACAAGCAGAACAGAAACAGAATCATAGCTATAGAGAATGTTTTGATGGTTGCCAGATGGGAGGGGGTTTGGCAGGATGGGCAAAAATGGTGAAGGGATTAAGAAGTACAAATTGAAGATTCAGAATAGTGATAGAGTACTGCATAGGGAATAGAGTAACCAAAGAACGTATACACATGACCCGTGGACATGGATGATGACGTGGGGATTGCCTGAGGGAGTTGGGGGCCGGGTGGAAGTGGCCAAAGGGATGAAAGTTGGGACAACTGTAGTAGTAAAAACAATAAAATATAATTTAAAAAAAGAAGTGATATAGATAGATAGATAGATAGATAGATAGATAGATAGATATATGATGGAATATTACTCGGCCATAAAAAAGAATGAAACTTTATCATTTGTGACAACATATATGGATCTAGGGCATATTATGCTAAGTGAAATAAGACAGAGAAAGACAAAATCCATATAATTTCACTTATATGTGGAATCTAAAACACAAAATAAACAAATGGAAACAAACTCATAGATACTAGAATAAACTGACGGCTGACAGAGGGATGGGTGTTGGGGGCTGGGTGAAAAAGGTGAAGAGATTAAGAAGCACAAATTGGCAGGTACAAAATAGTCACAGGAATGTAAAGTATAGCATAGGGAATATAATCAATAATATTGTAATATCTATGAATAGTGCCAGCTGAGTACTAGACCTATTGGGGATCACTTCATAAGTTATATAAATGTCCATCCTGTACTCCTGAAAGTAATATAACATTAAATAACTGTAATTGAAAAATAAAAATAATTAAATAATTATATAATATATAAATTATATATTCTATAAATATATATTTATATAATACATGAATTATATATTATATAAATATACTTATATATTATATAAATAATTAATTATATAATGTAAATATATTATATAAATATATATTTCATACTTATATAAAATATTATAATTATATATAACATAATCACTTATTGTGTGATTATCATGCAAAAACCTTTATACATATTATTCCATTTAAGCTCACAATAACCCTGAAAGTGTTACTATCATACCCATTTTAAAGATGAGGAAACTGAAGCACAGATAGGTGAAGAAACTTAGCCCAGGACACACAGCCAACAAGTAGTAAAATTTGGAATTGAACCAGGACTGTTCTCATAAACCCAAATGCTTTACCTTATGGCTGTATCACTTTGTACAGCCGATGGAAAAGTACTGTACACTTATGATGCCAAGCACTTTGAAATATGCTGTCTACTGCAAATTTAAGCTTGACTTCAGAAATGACTCAAGTTTGAACAAATGAATTATTTGGCTACTTCGTGTTTATTTTATGAACCATAAGGTATTTAACCTGATTTTCCCCCATTAGATCACCCTCACTACTGAACAAAGGTAGGCCAGGGACATAATCACCCTGAACCTTAGTTTCCTCGTCCGTGAAAGTGGTGAAAGTAATGCTTATCTCACTGTATTGCTGTAGGAATTTAAATGAGGTTAAGTAAGTGAAAATCCAGTGCTTTACTCAATAAATGTGAGAAGCATCCTTCTGGGCAGGAAAATTGGTGCCATGGCCTTCCCAGGCACCTCCTATCCCCATAATGAGTGATATTCTTTTATGCCCTGAGCACCTTACTGTATGGGGGAGTGGGCTCCCAGGGTAGCCAGCACACAGAAAATTCTATCCCCTGTGTTTTCCTCCTTCCCTTTACTGGGGAACAGCTCTCTCAAGGTTCCCAACTGCATAATCAGCAATCAAAGAGGGCCACATTCTCAGACGAGAAAGGACCGTCCTCTAGTGCAGGCTTTGCAAGAGCCACATTGCCCTTCCAGAATCTTCTTTCCAGCTCTCAGGAAAATCAGAAAAGGTTTAGTCTACTCTACTCACTTTTCTTCGATGATGGTCTGGCCATTGCTTCTGGTTTCTTCAATGATGAGTTTCTCTTCCTCAGGAAGTAAGACTTGTGGAACTGAATCTTTGCGAGTACCTACCAATAAGGGTTGCAAGAGGGTGGAGAGGGAAGAGTTACTAGTGAGTACTATTTATAGGTGTCAGTTCCTTTATCCTATTGCTATTGAAGGGTCTTTGTTAATAGCATGTTGCAACCTTGCACCCAGAGAACAATCATGCAACATTTAATGACTAAATCTTCTTGACCTGACCAAATTCTAAAGGAATGAATATATTGATTCAGACTTGGGGAGCAGAGAATTTTGTACTCAGAAAAATAATGCAAAAGAGTCACTGTGACACCTGCCCTAAATGAAGACCCCATCTTTTCCTGTTTTGCCTCCTCCACAGCAAAAAGCTGACCAGTGATCATTCTGTCTCTGCACATTTCCAGGGAATAGCACACCACATCCTATGTTATGACATTATATAATTTTTATAAATTTAGAGTAGTATTGCATTGGGACACAATGTGCTAAAGGACCTCCGAAGTATCACTCACTCTCATTTGTTCTTTACAGTCCAATAGAGTAAGGTAGGGTCAGTTAGGACAATTTTGATCAAGGGTAGAGCCAGGGTTGGGAGATTATTACTTCAGCAACAAATATGCAGACATCCTTACTTCTCTCCACTCAGACTGTCTCCAGGATTTGTGATAGAAGAGGTGACAGAACAGACATAGGACTTAACCAAACAGCTCTCCTGTAAATTCTACCCACCCCCTCACTTCTGGATTCTTCATCCCAGAGCATGAACGCTTAATCTTCAGTCTCCTTGAGCCACTGGTTTACTCTCTTCTAAGCCAAACTTCTTCGAAGTACACTCACTGCTTTCACTTGACCACCTCTCCTTTCTGGAGGTGGATTTGTCTTCCCTTCATAGCACTTCATAGGTGCTTAATAAATGGACAACGGACTGACTGACTGACCAACAGACTTAATGCAGCAAGAAATAATAACAATCAGTTCTAGGGAAACGACTTCTGGCTGGAGAAGGATAAAGGGTGGTAGATCACCGTGATGCTAAACGGCTTACTTGTGCCAGGAACTGTGCTAGACATTTTTCACATGTAAAGGGTAGGCTGGGGAGGAGGGGCAAAACTGTGACTCTTTAGGTCAGAATACCTGCTTGCACCTCCAACTAGATTTATCGAGTTTATTAATGTGAAGAGAGGTGGTGAGAAGAGGTCAGATTCTGTATGAAGGATGTTTCTTCTGGTGTCTCTTTGTTCCCTTCATGTTCCTAGTTTTCACAATAAATACTGTTCTCACTTCCCTTACTTGGTTCCTCGAAACTTGTTCTCAGAGGTGGGCATGCCCAAAGCCACAGCCAGGCTTTGTCTATGGAGCATAAGTCATGACTGTCTCCTCTTCATGGTCAAATGTGTCGACTTTCACATTTTTCCTCATGACAGCCTTAGAGACAGTCACCTTGAAAGCATATGTCAAGGTAGTCCACCTAAGTAATACTTTCCCACACTCCAGTGATGAGTCAGTGTCTGTCCAAAACGGAGCATGAGGGAGAATTCATTTCTTACACAAATAGCAAATCCCCACATAATGTATCCTGAAAGTCTATAATAATGGAAGGCAAGAGACATAATTGATATGACCTGGCTTTTTAAAAAGCACAAAGATGAATCAGAAAACATTATCTCGCTTTCAGTTTGTAGCCTGAAAGTTGTTCGGGGAAATACCCTCATCTGAAAGCTCCCTAATAAATTGTCTACATTTTGAACAGCCCCTGTTAAGCAGCTATATTTCCAGATTTTCAGAGCAACTTTGAAACTTGAGTTTAGTGAAGCACTGTTCGTTTAAATATGCAGCTGATCAAAGATAGTATTTTGACTTCCTTTCCAAATCTGCCTATAAGAAGAGATTAGCATCAGTTCACAGACACAGGAACTCTCTGGGCTCTTTAATTCCTAACTTGTGTTGATGAAGGTATCTGTGTACTTCAAAGGAGAATGACTTTAAAAAATTTTTTTCATTTCTATCACCTCCAACTTTTTTACTCTTGCATCTCTCTCTCTCTCTCTCTCTCTCTCTCTCTCTCTCTCTCTCTCTCTCTCTCTCTCTCAGTGAAAGGAAACTGGTAAACAAACCACTTGGTAGCTAAAACCACCTTATCTGAAAGATGCAGTCCTGCACTGTTTCTCTGTACCAAATAACCTGCTTTACACACCCTGCACCAGTTTGGGTTGCTTTTCTCTTCTTCTAAGAGGCAGTGAGAAGTAAAAAAGGAACACTGCTTATTAGGGAAAGTGGTTTGGAGGGACCTACTTGAGCCATGGCCTTGTTGAAAGTTTGCACTGGTACAGTAGGCTTCAATCACTTTAAGAATCTGAGCGTCCTCTTCCAGAGCAGCCGTACCTGTCAAATTTAAATAATAATTACTTTTCATATTAATATATGCCTGTGTACCCTCAAAAATATGCAGTAAACTCCACCGCTAGGGGCTGGCTTCTTAGACCATGGTGTTTCTAAAAGGCAGGAGCAAAATCTGTCCAACTCTAATAACTAAGAGTGACAGTATCAACCTCTGGGGTCAGCATCAGTGAGTTCCACACCAAGAGTGGCATGTTCCTGAATCCCATCAAGACTTCTAAATTGGGGAGTCCTGTCAAGTCTCCTCTCTGAGGCCACAGTTACAGCACTGGACTTGATGCTAGCCTCAGTTCTCATCCAATACAACACATACTTCCTCTCCTTCAAATTTCAAGATGTACCTTCTCTAGGAAGCTTTCCCCATTAACCCCACCAATTTTTCCAGCCAGCCAGCATAGTCACTGATTCTGCCCCCCCTTTCCTCCCCCTCCAACTCATTCTTGAAATGACTAGAGGGCAGAACCCTGTTAACACGCTTCTGTGTACCAAGTGTGGGGTGGGGAGTGGGGGATGCAGAAGCTAGTCAAGCACAAATTTATCCAGACTATATTTTTGACCGGTATGCATGGTTCTGTCACTCTTTTGTGAGACAGAAGTATGTCCCAAAGTACCTTGTTCCCAGCCATAGAGGGAAATGAGTACATATCAATTGACTGAGCAACTTTACATTCTGTCTCTAAATCAAGCCGTGTTTCTACATGTCAGCAGGCTGATTCCTTAGCTAACTAGGAACATCACAGAGACTTAGACTTCCAGAAGGATTTCAACCTTCAGGTCTATTTAGTCTATCTTAGTAGAGGAAAATATCTGAGGCATCAGAAACTAAAGGGTAAAAAAATGTATCTATAGCAAATGGCCCCTTTCTCAGTTTTAAACCAGGTGGGGCAAAATATTCAACATGAAATCACACAAATGGTTTCTGCCTCAGATGACATGAACTGCAGCAGAAGGCAGCTTATTAAAAAATTTTAGAGGTGACCCAACCTTTCTATGCATTTGTCATTATGTAACAGATGATGCCGAGAACAACGTGCTCTAATCATCTGTTTTTTAAATATTTTTCTGTTATTTAATCCATTACCAACTTTCAGAAAGCACAAAACACATACTTTTCCGAATCACATATTCTTCTTCTGATGGCTTTCTTTCAGTCTTTCTTTTATGAAGAAACTTCTTCATGGTTTTGGGGCTTTTACTAGACTCCTGTAAGAATAGAATTTTCTTTATGAATTAAACTTCTGCCCCAAAAACAAATTTAAAAGAGCAAATGAAATTAAATAGAATGGCTCTCTCTTATTTTGACAGTCTCAGGAGCTCATCAAAATTAAATACTATACACAATAAAAATGTCTCAAATAAACTCTATAAGGTTAAATAAACAAAGGCAATGACATTGTCTTCACAATTGCCATAGGGATGGGTATAAGAATGGACCGTGCCTACTAAAAATTTAGCAGATTCTCCAGGAGGCCAAATGCCCTTAGGGTACCATATGCAGAGAAAGTAATGGATGCCAATGCTAGAAATAACAGCATTCCTAACTTGGTTTATATTCCCCACTGATACAGTTTCAAATGAATTAAGTAACAATTGTAACTACTACTGTAGTATACACAGCTTTTCAAGGAGCTTGAAAACTATTTAAATAAATTTTCCTGAGCAACAGTCCCACAACAAAGAATATCAATTTCCTTTTGTCCAATGGGAAAATTAAGACAAAGAAACTAAGTAATTTCCCTGTGGTAAGAGAGAAGAACCAAATGAAGGACTTCTGGATAATGATTCAGAGTTAGGAGTAACGTTCCTGCAGCCAAGCAAAATATACATATATAAAGCTATATTTTAACTAGTAGACAAAAAGATATGAATTATATCAATTATTTAATTTGCTTTGGCCATGTGAATAAACCAACAGACATGAAAAACTCACATGTGACAAAAATAGAAAAAATAGCTTTAAAATAGAGGAAAATGGAAATTTTTAAGGCATTATAAGAAAACATTTTCATATGCATTTCACAAGAGCCTGCTTTTTGAAGAAAATACTTACATGTCAGAACTGCATCTTCATATTTTAGCCACCAAAAATAATAGGGGAAAAAAGAAGCATAAAGGAAAGCTTCACTCATAAAAGGTTACAGCATAACATTATGATGTCACTGTAAGGCAAAGATAGTGTTCTACCCTTACCTTTAAGATATAAGACATCCTCTAAAGTGAATATGTAAAGAAAGAGAAGATGAGCGTGAGAGGTCGATGGTTACAATGACCAAATCCATTTATCAATAATTCTAAAACAACATTTGAAATGTTAGTGTTATCATAAATTATACAGAGAGAATATCATCACGATTCCCACATTAGTTTTAGATGCAATATCATCATGCAAAAGCCCAAGGAACACAGTTCTGTGCAGAATAACAAATGCTGAAAATAACTAAAATACATACTACATAGTAAGAATTTATTAATAACTCTCTTCTCCCAGCAGAAAAAAATAGTAATCATGCCTTAGTTTTAATGGATTAGTTCTGTGAAGGATTAAGTCAATTTCACCCCTCAAAGTTCACCTGAATTTGAATTTAGTAACTGACAATTATGAAATATCCATCATTAAAAAGGAGACCTATGTAACTACGAAGTGGCACTCCTGGTTATGGTGATCAAAGGAAAAAATGGATGATTGCAAGTATCACAGGTCAATTTTCAAAGCAAACCTGTGGGACTGTTTCTTGGCTTAATTCTGAATAAAGGTACATAATGAAAATTCAGCTCAAGATTTATTTTTCCTATCATGTTGGGTTGAAAGGATCAAAAAATCCTCCAGTTTCCAAATATTTTTCCATTTTTACTACACTAAGAGTTTAGGCAACAATGAACTGAAACAGTAGTATGGTGTTTTAAATAAAAACAAACTCAAAATTCAGGTAAGTCTCCATCATTCATTAAAACACACATTTGATATACAAACATAGGCTGCCTTTGCATTACAACTCTGACATGTCTCACAACTGCCACAAACTTAAATCTTCATTCAGTAAAACCTCTTTGAAGAACAGTTACTAATAAATGAAGATTTTTTTCTGAAAGCTGAAACAATGAGCAACAGATTAGGGGAAAAAAAAACAAAAACAAACAAACAAAAAAAAAATCCCGACTGTTTGGATGGAAAAGGTAACACTCCACACAGTTACAGAAGCTAGCTACTGACATTTCCTGACTGCAACTTCAAGGGAAAAAAAGGCCTCGAAATCCCCACACTACCCAAATATCAAATGTCCTCTAGGGTTGTCACTTAGAAGAATCCTTTTAAAAGATACTCCATTCATTAAATTCTTTTTCCCTTTTCAACTGCAGCAAATAGTTCAAAGACTTTCATAGTTCAGACTCATGGCTTGTTCCCATAAGACTTTACTGATTTGGTTTAATAGATCAAAATGATCCAAAAAGCAGAATTGGGTTGGAAATTCACCTCTAATGAAGCACCTCTTGTTTGAGATGTGTGTACATCACTACCAATTTATAAATTATCATATCATTATAAAGGTAAACCAGAGGCATTTTAGGAAAAGGTTGGGGAAACTGAGTACACATAAACCCCGGGGATATTCAATAAATATTTGTAGATGGACAATGGGGAAATGGAAAATTAAGAAATAAAAAAATCAATGAATCTAGCAATTCAAGATTGACTGACATGTGTCACCTATTATAAATTCTAAGCCCATCCCCACAGAACTATTTGTAATAAGTTACAAAATTAGCTTGTCAGCATTTTATACCATATATAGCAAAATTACCTCTTTATAACCTAGTGCTGCTGATGGTCTAAGTGGAGGTGCAGGTCGTAGACAACTTAAACTCCATGGTTTTATAATTTGAGGAGGTTCCAAGGGTCCTCGGGGCTGTCCAGTAGAGCTAAAAGACTAGGAAATTGTCTGATGAGATGTTGGCAATCTGCCACCTGAACCCAACCTTGTTCCCCACAGTGAGAGAACATCAATAGCTTCACTGGATCAGCAAAGCCAGCCATAGAAAGGGAAAGAAGGAAAAACAAAGGTCTGTAGTTTGAGAACTGACACTTTCCAGTCAAGATTATTGGGTCTCTAAGGAATAGCACTAAATAGATTCAACATTCCATAATCCTGTCCTCATTTTCTCTTCTGCATTTCATTAAAGTCAGGTGTTTTTTCTGTATAATTGAGAACAGTCAATATTTAAGAAGTTCAGTTATATGTTTGGCACTCTATTAAATGCTTAAATAGGTTATTTCATTGGAACAACCTAAGACAAACCGTAGCAAAGTGAAGTAACTAGCTAGCAATTGGCAAAGTTAAGATTTGAATCCAGATACGATGACAAAGCCCTTTTTCTTCCTACTAGAGCACACAGTGCCCTGAAGTGGAATTTTGGTATCACAGGTATAAGTGTTAATAGGCAACACAGCATATCTTCAATCTTACTCAGCAAGTACAGTAAAATTTCATCAATTCAAATGCCATGAATTGCTAAATTTATGATAACGTGGAAGAAAATGCTAAAAGTTTACCTTTGAAGGTTACTGAGTGAATATAATAGTATAAATGAGATTATGTAGAGATGCTTAAATACTTATGAAGGTAAACTATTGGTTTTGACTTAGCACATTATTAATAAGAGAATAGCAGTTGCTAACTAAAATACATCTTGCTTATCATTAAAACATCTTAGTAGGATTTGTGCTAGTATTTAGTTGGTACTCCAAGTTAAGGTCAAACTAAACTTCACACCTTTAAGTAAAACTTTGTATTAATTTCGATGGACCTCCCTCCACCACAATAAATCAGAATTTGTGCCCTGGCCATGTGGCTCAACTGGTTGGAGTGTTGTTCCATGAGCCAAAAGTTTGCCAGTTCAATTCCTAGTCAGGGTACATGCCTATGCTGTGGGTTCTATCCCTGGCTGGAGGTGTGTATGGGAGGCAACTGGTCGACGTTTCTCTCTCGCATCAGTGTTTGTCTTTCTCCCTTCCTCTCTCTCTCTCTAAAATCAATCAAAAAAAAATTTTTTTTGAGTTAAACCTCAGAATTAGTGAGGTTTAACTGTACTTTAAAACCTACAGATATAAACTACCCAAGGATTAATGGCATGCTCACTGGTTCGCCTAAGTCCTCAGCAGACAGGATTTGATGAGAGACTCAGTAATCTCTGGATAGAGCAAATGGACTACTTACAGAATGAGTGCTACAAGATGATGATGATGTCTTGGATAATGAACTGCATGAGGCAGGTCCTCTGATCAATCTGTACAGATGCTCCAGCCATTCCTGGAAGTCCTGGTTGTTGCTGCAGTGGACCACAATTCTCTCAAGTATGTGACCTTCATCCCCCAATTATGAGCATTTGGAAACAAAAGACAAGGAGAACCTTGAGCTTGCCTCATTAACAATCACTTCACACAACTCAGATGTGGGTGTTACATGTATTTTCAGGAATTTTTATACCTGTGGGTAACCCTTTTGAAACTTCTGTATCAAGAACAGATGAGCTGTGATAATAAATAAATAAATAATCATATCTAATTTATAAAAACCGTTCTTGATTTCTACTGCTTACATAATCTTAGAAGTAGTACAAAACTTCACTTTAAACAAATACACAACCCAAAAGTTTAAGCATAGAGTCAATTTAGCTAATAGTCTAAAATGAGAATATAGTATTGTTTCACCCACTATCAAAGTTGAAACAAGATCCAGTACCAAATTGTGGGCTCCCTGTTGGGAAAGATAAAGGCCTGGGGCCATTATCCCAGTGTTAGCTATCATACCATATCAATGCAAAAAGTACAACCATTAAATGTAAAGCACGCCAGCCTGCCAAAAGTGAAAACAGGCCAAAATGTCAGGGAGCATTATCCAGGCCTGTCATTTTCTCAGTTTGTGAAAAAAGTTTTATGGCTTCTCAGTACTTTTTTGAAACATAATAAAACCTTGCTAAATCATAGGCTGATGATAAAATTACTGATAAAATTCCACATCTTTGGCTTCTTTGCCACAAGAGAATAGATGACAGAAAAAGGAGCAAATTTATATCAGTCCCTTTTGTTATTTCTTAGCTCTAGCAGGTAGCTTTTATGCAACAGAAAATTGAAACTAATGGCAAAACCGAGGCTTTTGAATGACCAGGAGACTTCTCTGTTCTATCGCTGTACCCTAATTATCCCAGGAAATAAAATATACTTTGCCATGCCCGTGTAAAACTTGCTCATGGACTATATAACAGAGAATAATAGTATTTATTTATTTAAACCCCACTTCTTTCCAAAAAGAGGTTGAAGTAGCTATGTGAAAAAGATAAAATTACCTACCTGTGATTTCAAATGTGTAGTCATTCCCTTCAATTTCATCTAATCTAGTCACCACCATTCCTGTTATTGGTATTTTTCCCTACCAGAAAAAGAACGTTCCCATTAATTCTGTGGTTTTTCACGTCCCTGCTTATTTCTATTAGATTTTATGATCCTGTCAGGAATCACTGCTGAATTATGGATAGATATATTTCTCTGGTATATCAATAGATAATATGTTTCCCTGCTTTAAATTTTAATCACATGAGAAAATAAGGGGAAAAACTGGGTTGTGTTTTGGCTAACATACCCTAAACCATAATATCAGGACTTATGGTTTATTTTTCTAACACATTTTCATGAAAATCACTAAACAAAAACTCAAATTTTATACAAATTACTAACTGCTAAGACAAGATATAAGAGGCAACAGCAATTTATAATACTCCACATTTTGGGAGCAGACTGAAGTAAGTTTAATTTCTTAAGGAATTTAATGACTTGCATTTCAAACACTAAATCATGTGATGTGACTGTAGAAGGAGATCCCACCTTTATATTTTCTCAGCAATAATGATATAATATGGACATGTAAAATTCTGATACTAATTGATTTTGTTGCAGATTTATATTTCTGTTTATACATTCATAACCTAGCTTATAACCAGAGCAGTGGACATTCGGGGTAGACTTATTACAATAATACAAAGGTCTTTGATCTAAGGAACATCTGCTCTTATAAGCTATCTAATTACAATGAAAGGTCATAACATCCTGCCTTTTCTGGCTGGAACTTTTGATAGTATAATAGAAATACTGCATCTGGATGGAAATCTCTTTTCATTACGGGTCCTGCTATTTGATCTATATGAAATCCACTAACCTGATAGATGAAGCCACTCATCCGAGGACTTGCAGATAACATTATCAAGACATTTGAAAATAACATGAGGTACCGCTCCTCTTTTTCCTGAAGGGGAATGAAAAATATTAAATTGAGAACAGAGCCCTGGCTGGTGTGGCTCAGTGGATTGAATGTCATCCTGCAAACCAAAGGGCTGCCAATTCAATTCCCTGCTAAAGTACATTCCTGGGTTTCAGGTCAGGCCCCCCATTGGGGGTGTGTAAGAGGCAACCCGATTGATTGATGTATTTCTCGCACATTGATGTTTCTCTACCTTTCTTTCTCCCTCCTTTACTCTCTCTCTAAAAATAAATCAATAAATAATTTTGTAAAAAATCATTTTTAAGAAGAGAATAGAAATTGGACACTTTGTTAAGAATTTCAGGAATTAGTTTTGTAACAAAGATCTTACATAAGGCAATGAAATGTCAACAGTAATTTTTTTAAAAGGTACCCAACTTAAAAGTACAAAACTAGAGAATCAAGATGGTGGAGGAATGAGAGGAAATCACAGTAACCTCCTCCCAGGAACAACCTAGAATTACAACTAAATTGGGGAGAAATCACCTGGAAAAACAACTGAACAATAGCAAAAGAGGAGCCTTGTAACCTCGGAGACACAAGAATCAGCTTTTGTACAATCGAACTGGTAAGGAGTGCGATACAGACCTGAGAAGGCAGGTGGGGCATCAATGGGAAGCACCAGAAGGATATTGAAACGGCCAGTTGGATCCCCCTGAGAAGAGCAGGCTCTAAACCAAAAGCAAGGATCTCCAGCCCACAGCACCAGAGCCCAAAAATTACACAGAAAATGTCCAGCTGTGAAAAGTGGCAGGGCTGCTCTCTGCCAGAGACAGGAAGCTGGAGAAGCAAAGAGCTGTTTAAAAGTCTGATGCATAAATTTGTATTTGCAGCCACTTACCCTTGTCTCTGGCAAAGGCAGGGGCAGAGTGGGCTAGAGACACTTCAGGAGAGACTGAGGAAGGGGGCTTTGGGAAGATAATGGAGAGAGTACCCTGCGAGATCTCGGTGCTAACTCATTCCCCATGTAGCAGCAGCCATCTTAGTCTGGCAGAGACCACTCCCCCTGAGTGGCACCAGCGACAAAGGACCCAATAGCCCCGCCCCGAGGGGGGATTCCACCCCTCCCTGTGCTGTCTAAGCTGCCTGCTGAGTGCAGAGTGGCAGCCACAAACAGTAAATCCTTGGCAAAAGGGGGCACAGAGAGGTCTAGCGACACTTGAGGAGAGACTGGGCACAGAGGCTGAGGGAAGAGAACTGAGAGAGTAACCAGCAGGATCCCAGTGCAGACTCCTGCCCCATAAGGCAATGACGTGAAAGGACTCAAAAACCCCACCCCCAGAAGGGACTCTGCCCCACCCTGTGCTGTCCAAGGTGCCCTGCTGAGTGCAGAGTGAACAGATTAATAGCTGAAGGAAACAGCCACAAACAGTAAATTACTGAAAGTCTCCAACAGACTGCCTAATGTCAGACAGGGTCAACATGTGACATCATCAGAGGCAGATCCAGAGAGTAAAAACAGCAGTCACCAACAGTAGAAGTTCACACCACAAAGTCAGGAAATCAAGGCAGATCAACTTAAGAATGAGAAGCAAAAGAGAAGAGTCTCACAAAGAATGGGAAGACAAAGAAATACACCCCACTCAAAGGGAAAGGAGGAATCCCCACAAAGAGAACTAAAAGAAATAGAGGCAAGTAAACTATCAGATATTGAGTTCCAAACAATGGTTCTAAGGAAGCTCAATGAGCTCAGTAAGCTAAGAGAGAATTGCCAAAAACTACAGGGAAACTACGAGGAACTTACTGCAACTATATCAGCATGAAAAAGGACATAGAAACTATCAATAAGGGACAAGAGGAAATGAAGAATACACTTTCTGAATTGAAGAACACAGTAGAAGGAATCCAAAGCAGGCTAGATGAAGCTGAGGACCAAATCAGTGAGCTGGAGGAAAAGGTAAATGAAACTCCCAGAGAGAGTAAGAAAATGAAAAAAGACTCAAAAAAATGAAGAGGCATTGAGGGAAATTCAGGACAACCGGAAACATAATAATATCTGTATAACAGGGATACCAGAGGGAGAAGAGGAGGAGGAAGGGATAGAGAACCTGTTTGAAAAAGTAATGATGGAAAACTTCCCCAACTGGAGGAGAGAAAGAGGCACACAAGTCCAGGAAGCACAGAGGGTCCCATTCAAGAGGAACCCAAAGAGGCCCACTCCAAGACACATCATCATTAAAATGGCAAATATCAAAGACAAACAGAGAATCCTAAAGCAAGCAAGGGAGAAACAGGTAGTAACATATAAGGGAGCCCCAATCCAGCTAGCGGCTGACTTCTCAACAGAAACACTGCAAGTCAGAAGAGAATGGCAAGAAATACTCCAAGTCATGAAAAGCAAAGGCCTGCAACCAAGACTGCTCTACCTAGCAAGGCTCTCAATTAAAATGGAAGGCAAAATAAGGAGTTTCCCAGACAAAAGAAGGCTAAAAGAATACACCTCCACCCAACCAACACTGCAAAATATGCTAAAGGGAATGCTTTAAGATGAAAAACAGTTTCTATGAAATATAATTCGTTTCACAGTTGCCAAACTTGATATCACCAATATTTTTAATACTCATTAATCTGATTGTGACAATGATGTTATTTTACTTGTTCCTTTACTATTTGTTGAAACTAAACCTGTTTTAGTAGATTTCTTGCCTGTTTCTATTATTTAAAAAAAAAAATCTTTACATGACTTTTTGGTATTCTTTATCCATTTATTGATTAAAGGTTTGTAGAACTTTTTTCCCTAAAAGGACAAAAACAAAAACAAAAAACCCTATTAACCATGTTTTAAATGTGTTACAAATACTTTCCTATTCTATCCCTTGTCCTTTAACTTTTTAAATATGTATATTACTATATAGTCTTAAATGTTTAATATAGTCACATTGTCAACATTTACTTTATAGCTTCTGAGTTTGAATATTTTACTTCAGGTCATGATAAATATTAGTTCTGTTTTCTTCTAAGACTCCTTAGATTCTACATATTGATTTTTAACTCACCTGAATATTTCTTGTATAATGTGTGATACAGGGCTCTATATTTGTTTTATTTCAAGTAATAGTGGTCCATGCACCTTATTTGTTGAATAAGCCTTATTTTACCCATTGATTTGAAATATCAATTTAATCATATATTATATTGTTAGACAGATATATACATTTGTCTCTAGAATGCTCATTATATTTCATTGATCTACTTGATTATTTCTGTGCTGGTGTCATGCTGGTTTAGTTGCTGAGACTTTATAATGGTTTTTAATTTTTAAAAATATTTTATAATTAACTTTGATATTTAAAAAATAAATAAAATAAATCTTCAGTTAAGAAAGAACAAACAAAACAAAGAAACAGTGAGATGGAACTCCTACCTTTTGTGACAACATGGATGGAATTGGACAATATTATGCTAAGTGAAATAAGCCAGTGGATAAAAGACAATTACCACATGATCTCACCTATAAGTGGAAGCTATTCAACAAAATTTGCTAACGAACAAAATAAACCACAGGCACAGAAACATGGAGCAGACTGAAAGTGACCAGAGGCAATGGGGAAGGAGGACAATGGTGCAAAGAAGGGGAAGGGACTAGACAAAGAACATGTATGAATGACCCACGGACATGGACAACAGAGTAGGAATAGACTGTGGGAGTGGGGGTGGAGGTGGTAAAGGGGTAAAAATTGAGACAACTGTAATAGAATAAACATGATTTATAAAATTTAAAAAATAAAAAAAGAAGAGAAAAAAAGTACAAAACTAGTTGACTTTACTTAGTAATGGATATAAACCCAGTCTATCTCTTTTCTCCCCATATATAACAGTTAAATACAAATAATCATGCTTTTTTCTCCAAGTACGTAAGCCTGAGAAGTCACACAGTTAATGCCTTCCTGCAAAAGCTGAAGCCAGAGCATCAGGTAACTAGGTTCACAAAAGTGAAAAGTGGCAAAATAAAAGCTTTTTTTCTCAGATTTTATTTATTTATTTTTAGACAGAGAGGGAAGGAGGGAGAAAGAGAAGGAGCGAAACATCAGTGTGTGGTTGCCTCTTACGCGCCTCCTGCTGGGAACATGGTCCACAACCCAGGCATGTGCCCTGACTGGGAATCGAATCAGCAACCTTTTGATTCGCAGGCCAGCACTTAATACACTGAGCCCCACCAGCCAAGGCAAAATAAAGGTGTTTTCAAGTGATAGGAAATTTATTTTGTTCTAACATGTATGTAAATTTTATTTATAAAATTAATTAGTAAGAACAAGATAGTTGTTATACCCATGTAAAGCAAAGTAAATACTTTTTTAAAAAATGGCACTAAAGGAAATTTTATATGGAAGGGTTTCTCTAAACTCCTTAAACAGATATGCAATTAGCAGATGCTAATAATTACATTGAGTTTACATGTCCAGCCAACTTAACTGCAATTACCCTTATACCTATCTCCATCGCCTTCTTTCCACTTGAGAATAGCAACCTTTTGAGGCTCACTCTTCTCAGAAAGGCTCCGCATTCTTTCACATCTTTCTCTTGCTTGGCTTCCTTCTATAGGCTTCTCATCTCCTCCTTTTATTTCCAGCAGCCTCTCCTATTCAACTAGCTTTTCCTTTTTGCTTTTAACATATGCACATCTCCCACCCTAAGAGGCCTTCACTTGCCCCTCTGACTACTTCTACAAAATACTGTTTCTTGACATTTATTGCCATATTACTTGCTGCCTTCATTTTTTCTCTATTGATCCCTCCCTGCTTACTTTGTTCTCTCAAAGTCATCAATAACTGCCTTCTAGTGAGATCCAATAGATTTTCTTGGCCTCCATGCTTCTTGACTTCTAACCTTCTGCAGCATTCAGCAGGCTGACTACTTTCAAATGCTCCTCCTGGAATTTCCATGACACCACACTCCCCTAGTTCTCCTTTATCTTCCTCTTTATCTTTTCTTTGTGGCACTGATTTCTCCTCCCTTCACTGAAGTGATTTACCCAAAGGTATGAAAGACTAAAAGGTAAACTTTCTACTTTAACCTCCCCCAGGATATCTACATTTTAAATGAGATTTCTTATTAACCCAAAGTAATGAATCTCTGACACAGACCTATCAGGGGGCATAGGAAGATGTTTTGAGAGGAGGGAGACAATTCTAACACCTGATAAATAATACCAGTTGATATAATCAATCTTCCTCTCCTAACTCTACCCCCTTCCTAAAAGACATAATTCACCTTTAGCCCTCTGTGCTTCTCTCTGGATATTTACTTCCTAGGAAGGCCCATCTGTCAGGGACATCTAAATCCCTGCCTCTAACTCTGACCTTCCACTCACACTTCTATACTGTTTTAACAGCTGCTTATAAGACATCTCCACCTGGATACCTACAGTCACTTGAAAGTGAACAGGTGTAAAATTACATTTGTCATCTCCTCTAGCCCATAGGTCACCACTTCCTATAGACTTTCCCTTCTAAGCATGTCTCACATTTGCCCCTTAAGTTTCATTCTTTCTGCCACTACCTTCGTCAGGGGTACTCATCACTTTCCAGTTCAGCTGCCCTTTCTGTTTCTATTTCCATCCCCTCCAGTGTACCTGACATATACGCTTGTCAGATTAAATGCCTCTTTCATTGTGTTTCTCTACTACTCAGGACTCATAGTTGCCTATTGCCTGCTTTGTCAGTCTGAATTACTCTTGCCTGATATCCAAGGTTCTTCATAACCTGACTCTATCTGACTCCATCAATCTTCTCTTTCACTCTGCCCAACATGCTTCCTCTGCTCCTATTGGGCTGGCTTCCTTACTGTCATGAAGGGAAAAAGGCTGTATTCCTGTTCTCTTCTGAAATAAGAATGACCTCTACCTTGCAAAGTTCTCTTTTCTCTTCAAGGCCCTCCTCCTCATCTCTTATCTCCATAAAATCTTCTTGCTCTCTTTCTTCTCTGAACTTCAGTAGAATCTACTGTTGAGATTGCATGAACCGGCATTGACTATTTTGGTTTGTTTTCTACTTGTAGCTTATTTTTTAATCTGTCCTTAGGGGGTTCTTTGAAGGCAGGGATCATTGTGTGTTCTTTCCTCCTATCTCTGACAGCACCTGGCAGTGCTGGGCAAAGAATAGGTGCTCAGTTTCTTTGAATGTTCAAGCATTTGACCTTGATGGAAGAACAAATAAAGGAAGAAAAATATGAAAGATGGAAAAATGGTGTTTAAATTTGAAACATCTTACCTCACATGTTCCATACTGCACCATTACTTGTGACATAAAAATCACATTTCCCAAGGTTTTAATATCCTCCCCTTCCCATGCCTGAATAGGCTCAGAAAGTATCTGCAACTCCAGCTGTTTTCTTTTTCTTAGATCTTGGCACTGTCCCTACAGAACCAAAGCAAAGGAATAGGAATTCTTATGAAATAGACCTAAAACAAGACCAAAGTAAGATGTGGCTTTTGACTTTCATAGCCTGCCACTGAATCCCTTTCCCCATGAATCCATCCCATTACCAATATCTTGACAGAAAGAAAGCTCCACTACCCTAAATCTCTAGCCTTGAATCCCTAAAAATTTTGTGAAGAAGAGCTAATTTTTATTTTGCTAAAATAAGATAAAATGGTGGAAGGAGCTTGTTTCTTCTCCCCTGCAAGGGGTATGGGAAGACAGGTAGCAGAATCACATTGAACAGAGCCAGAAGAGCAACTGGTAGATTCAGATCTTCTGGTTGGTATCACTGCTCTACCTCCTCTCAATCTCGTTTATCTGCATAAATATAGTGCCTTAGGTACAAAGCAATTTTATTGTTGTAACATATGCTCAGTTTCCAATCAAGTAACTTCTTAATTTTTTAAAAGTGACCCCAAGAGTTTAGAAAAAGGGAAAATTTAATTCCTTATGCCACAGTATATTAAACTGACCTTATAATAAAACATATGCACTGCCCTATACTTTGTTTAGGGACTAGAAGTAAATTCAATTAAAATATTAAATTAATTTTTATTCCTAAAAGGATTAGAAAAAAGAGATACAACTGAATTTCATGAATATGAATTGAAAACCCAAACCAAGAATCAATATGTGGGGTATGAATACCACACACACACACACACACACACACACACACACCCCCACCACTGCTTCAGAAAGTATGAGGTTGTCTTAGAGTAATTTAACAGTATTCATTCCAAATTGAATATGAAATAGCATATGGTTAGTTATGCCACTGTTTCCAAATGAATGTTATATTTTTTGAGATGTGTTTACTATAAAATCTATGCTGTCCTTTTCAGCTAAATGGAAGCTTGAAGAAATAAATTCATTGTACACATATATTTTGAAGCATCTACAGGGTGAATAAATATACTGTCACTATCAAATCAATTTTTACAATATACATGTAAAATGACTAGAAAGAAATATAGTTTTAAAAAAGAGGCATTTTAAAATTCAATTTACAGAGAAAAAATGAAAGGGACACAAGTGATAATAAATTACATGGGTTTCATGTATTGAATGATGTAAAACTGCCAATATTAGACTGTTTTTGACCTATAACAGCAATTTTAACCTACTTCCTAACTCTGGTCTTCAATTCGTTGTTTAACCATAAACACATCAGGTAATGATCTTTCTCAGCAAAAATGAAAATGAGATGATGGTGAATGCTGTATCACAACCTTACAGCAAAAATCAATAACTAAATATTGATCCAATCACTTGGAATGCTACAGAGATGTTTATATTGAAGCTAAACTTAATTAATCATCCAAAATAATGTTTTCTTTCTTCCTAAAATGCTACCAAGTAGTTTTACATCAGTTGGTTCAAGAAGACATTAACCATCATGCTCAAGATACAAGATTACAGGTGCCTTTTATAGCAATCTATGTAAAGCAATTGTATTTTAGTAGGTTTTTTCCTTTTCTATGTGATGAAGGATTTCTTTTTCATATGCAAAGAATAAACTCACACCTTTTGGCATAAGTAAATGAATCCAGTATTGATGTCAATCAGTGAACGACAAGTTGCACCAACATAAGGTGAGCAACATGGGGGTAAAGACAAAGAGACTAAAGGAAACCCCCCACCTACACAGCAATGCTTAATGTGGCAGAGACTTCAAATGTGAGTGCGTTATACCCTCGGCTTGGCAACCTTTCTTAGGTAAGCATGATTTTTGGAAGACAAAAATTAAAAGAAACAATCACAACGATACTGTCACTAGAGCTTATCGTTTCCACTTTGAAGACCTTTGCATAAGGAAAGAAATGTTACACACCAATTACTCTTTTAGGAACAAAGCATACAAAATTAAGAATTATAATTTTAGAGCATTACCTACCATGAGAGTTTTGAATGCTATGATTGCTTTCAGAATATCCTGATGATCTGGATGTGTATCCTATTAAAGGAATACATTTTAAAACAATATTAAAGTAGAACAAATCAGTGGTTGTCAGAAGTTAGATGGGGAAGAAGGTATAGCTGCAAGGAGACAGATAAAATTTTGAGGGATGATTAAATGGTTCTGTATCTCAATTGTGGTAGTAGTAACATGAATCTATACATGTATTAAAAGTCATAGAACTGTACACCAAAAGAAAAAAAGTCAATTTTAACGTATGCTAATTTAAAAATCAAAAAACAAAACAGCATTTGAGCATTGGGACTCTCAGCACCTCCAATTATTAGGTAATTAAGGGAGTAGGGGGATGGGGCAGGGAAGAACAATGAGGAGAAAGGTGGGACAACTGTGACTGAACAATAAAAAATTTAATTTCAAAAAAATAAAATAAAATAATAAATAAAAAAAGAAATTAAGACAGCTTGTAGCACATCATTATACTTGATAACAACATACTAGGTATGGTTATTACAAAAAAATCCATTTCTTTTTTTGCTGCTAATAAGTAATAATTATTTGGGAGGCATCATTAAGTCACGGTGTTAGTACATGACAAGAGATAGGGAATTATGGAAACAGAGTGGTGGATAGAGAAAAATCAATCCAATCTAATCTCCTAAAATGCCTACATTTTCTTTCAGCAGACTCAAAATGACAAATGAGAAAAATTCCAGGTTTTATACCATACGCTCCTTCTTATGCAAAGATTACATATGGTCTGCAATAGCTTACAACACCCAAAAGTGGACAGGTTCAAAAACCAGCTTTGAGAAATGTACATCTCCATAACTCTTTATGAAGGGAAAGCAGAGGTTTTTAGGAGTATATGTATACCTTTTTGGGGGTATATGAGGCATAGATATGTATCTAACCTTGGGGTATATGTGTGCTTAATCTTTGGAATTCAGCTGGAGTAACAGAAAGACAAAATCTGCTGCTCAACCAGCCCTGGGTGATAGAACACAGACCGGAAGAGACTAGAGGTGTGATCCAAGCCAAGGACAGTATTGCTTATAAAAAGAAAGGTTGTATCCTTTTATAGTTAAATTTATCCTTACCCAAATTAGCTAATAACTGTGAAGTTCAGGCTCTACTCTTCCATTAGCCAGCAGCCATGCTAAACAATCAGAAAGCTGGATCAAGTGTCTTGCAGGTGGTGAATCAATGCTAAGGGTGTGTATTATCTGATGGTAGGAAATGGAAGGCAGCCAAAGGCAGGTGACCAACAGCAAATGGAGGCAGAAATAGAAATGGGCTCTGATAAAAGGAAGGCCAAGATAGAGAATCCAGGCAGTAGGAGCATTTGGGGATTTTTCTCCCCAAATTAAATGTATATTTGTAGTTCAGCACTGAGCAGTAACAGAAACTGAGGCCAGTAGTTTCTGGTTTTTGTGATAAGCAAGGAGGGGCAAACCTCAAATGGTTCAGTGAACTGGTTTAGCTTTTGGAAAGGCATCCAGAGGTCAATACCTTCCCAAGCCCTAACTGAAATTTCATTCCAATAGGCTTTACTCACTAGCTCCCCACAGCCTCCAGCTTTTTGGCCGGTCAAATAACCTGAGAATGTAGTTTTGTTCAGAGTACATGCTTTCAGTCCTTACAAATGCTGACAAAACTAGCTGTGTGCAACCATTTTCTTTAAAGATAATCAAACCTTATAAACCTCAAAACCTCTCCCCAGACACAGGAAGAGCAAGTAGGGTAAATGCAGCTTCCCCCAGCCACACCTCAAACCCCTTGTTTGATCAGACAAGTCTGGCTCAAGAAGCTATCCCTTTTGTTTGATTTTTAAAAAGAGCTCTTGGTAAAAAATTCAATTATCAGGTCTCAGTGAAGTCTTGATATTTAGAAAACATGGCTATGCTACAGCTGTGGCAAATTACTTGTTAAGTTTATAAACAAAAATGTGAGGGGACCTGGATGTACATGTATGGATGCATAAAGAAACAAACCACTATTGGTCCCATTAATTAATCCTTAAGGAAATACCAGAATCTTCCATGATAATCCAGAGTCAAGCAACTCAATGCCTACAGTGCTCTCAAGATAAATATTCCTGTCTATATCCCACAATAAAGTTGGTTTTTATATCAGAACAAAAGTTTTCTTGGCTGATTTTGATTGAACCACTATCTACAGATGACGATGAAAGGGCAGAAGAAAACCTAAGTCAACAAGTTAGCAGAGATTTGAGTGAAGCGACAGGATAAAAGCTGGGAGAAGAGGAAGAGGAAGAATGATGAATATTTAATGGTAAAGCGTGGAGATCTTTCCGTTATAAGATGAGTAAGTTCATGGTGAGTATAGTTTATAACATTGCATTGTATGCTTTTGCTAAGAGAGTAGATCTGAAGTGTTCTCACTATAAAAAAAAAAAAAGGTAACTATATGACATGATGGATGTGTTAATTAAGTTGATTGTGGTAATCATTCCACGATGTATATGTATATTAAATCATCACATTACACACCTTAAAAATCATGTTGTATAACCTAATAGGTACAATTTTTATTTGTTAATCATACTTCAATAAAGCTGTAAAAGATAAATAAAAATGCCTAAAAAGCCAAGAATCTTCAGAGGAAAAAAAAAAAAGAAAGGCCCTTTCTGATTTTGCTGCATAAAAAGGAAAAACTTAAGATCTGTGAAGAAGGAAGATTGGATCAAGTAAATTTGGAAACTAAGGCTTTTTCTGAATTCCCCAGCAAGGCTAGTTTGAAGGCAGACTGGCAGCTTCCTCCAAGAGTAAAGACCCATACGTTGTACATAAATACCATATGATCTCACCTCTAAGAGGAACCTAATGAACAAAAGCAAACTAATGAGCACAATAGAACCAGAGGCATGGAAACATAAAACAGTCTGACAGTGACTAGAGGGGAGGGGAAAGGGGAATAATGGTGGAAAGAAGGGGAAGAGACTAGTCAAAGAACATGTATGAATGACCCATGGACATGAACAACAGAGTGGCAACTGACTGTGGGAGTGGGGGGTGGGCTGGGTGAAGGAGGGCAAAGGGGAAAAATTGGGACAACTCTAATAGAACAATAATACAATATTTTTTAAAAAGTAAGTTAGGAAGAGGTAAATTTTGAGCCAGTGTAGGAAAAACATTTTTAACAAATAAAGTTTTTCAAAGTTAAAAAAGAAAACTTGCTTTCTTTTACCTCCATATGCCGTTCCAGCTCTTGCAAGAGAGTAACATACTTCTCCAGTCGCATGAATGGTTTGCTGAGGCTTGTTGTTAAAATGAGTATACCTGGGCTAGATGCACCTTGATTTTCCATAAATTGTTCCAGAACATCACTAGCAAAAGAACAAATACAGTCCTGTTACTGCTTAATATTGCATGAAAAAAAATATTAACTGGACATTATTTTACTGTATTTCACACAACATAAAACTAAGTAAAATTTTGTTTCACTAATCCAAATGCTGTCCAATTCATTTTAACTTGATTCAATAAACCTTTATTCAGTTCCTCTATCTAATAAGCATTGCATGCAGCACTTGGGGCTACGGTGGTGAGCCACGTATTTATTTACTCATCCAACAATTATTGCATCTACTAAGCAACAGGCTCCATTCTCTGCTGGGGATACTTCTATAAACAAAACGAAAATCCCCACCCTTAAGGAGCCTGCACCCATGGGAATAGGGCATACAGTCTATCAGATGACCTCAACATCAGGTTTAAAAAAATATTTTCTTAGTAACTTCAAACATTCTGGTTATTGACTGGCCAGATGCCAAGGGCAGCAACTCACCAGTGCTTTGTTTCACCAGGGTACCCACTTGTAATGTTCCAGAATTAAGTCCTAAATTCAGATAGCAGCATGTTTGTCTGACTAATTACAAAGTCACTTAACCTAGGATCTGAAACCAGTGTATCAAGCTACCCAAATGAATTGGTTAAAAATTTTAAAAAAAAGATTATATAAATAGTTTATTAACTATGTCTTGTAAATGTCTTATTCTGAGCTTGTGCTTTCTCTGCCCTCTAGCACCCTGTGGATTGTCTCCTTTCCATGAATAGGATGTTGGGTTCTGAGTCTGCAAGATCATTTTAATATACATTTACACAAAATGTAATTAAAGAAGAATACCTACTTCCTAAATGACAGCATATTTTGAAACTCCTGCCTATCACTTGACCCCTTTACCTCCTTGCTTGCCCATGTATATCCTATCAGTCACAAGTCTTCTTGTATCTGTTTATTCCTTTCCATTCCCACTGCCACTACCTTAGTTCAGGTCTTTTTATCTGGTTCACTTCAGTAAACTAACTGCTCTCTTGGCTTTCAGGCTTTTTCACATCTGAACCATCGTGTAGGCCACCATTCTACTCCTATTGCTTCCCTACTCAAGAACTTCTGATTGCCTATGAGATCAAGTCTTAACTTTTTAGACTCCTACCTGCCCCACCAATCTCTTTCATCACTCTCCAACATAAACCCTCAACTACAAAGTGACATACCTATTCTCCCTAGACCACATCTTCTTCAGTGGTTCCCAACTGTGGTGCACTGCAATAAGTTGTGAAATGTGTTCAGTGAAACGTGATCATTAAGTACTACAAGTGTTGGGAATAGGGTGCGTTGCAGGTTATCCCTATTAATATACACTCATCTTCCTTGGGCTTTTTAGTAGGACAGAAAAGAATGGAGTTTCAGCTAATGTCCCAGCAGCCTTGAGTATCACATGCATGTCAGAGGGGAAAGGGGCTGAGCATCACTGCCTTAAGGAAAGCCAGATTACACCTGAGTGGTCACATCTAATAATTGATGCTATTTTAGCAGTTTTTGTAATCTTGCTCCAGAAGCTGCTGAGGGGAAGAATGTGCCCAGGACTTGAAGTCATAAAACAGATTTGGTGACCCTGGATCAGTGACCTAGCCTCAGCTGGCTCATCTGTAAAACAGAGACAAAATCTACTTCCTACTAAAATTGTGAGATTAAATACTTGGGGTTTGTAAGACTACTGTTTCATGCTAAGATCTTTGCATGACTTGGTTCTTTTTTAATATTCACATTTCAACACAAGCATTATCCTCATTTTACAAATGAAAAACTTGAGTCTCAGAAATAGTGAGTAACAGCAAGTATATGGCTATGTTGGGGTTTGTACCCAAGTGTGAAGTCAAAGCCTCAGGTCTTTCCATGACACCACTCTGTCTTTGTATAAGAAGTATGTTATACATTTTAAAGTAGACATTAGATGAATTGTTATTACTATTATCATTACTCCAAGGCAAGTATTATACCCTGCTAAAGTCACATTTTAAAAAACTACCATTAAGGTGGGATTACCAGCTTAATGGAAGTTCAATTGATATTTAATATCCAATCAAGAGCATAAAGTGCACAGAGGTTTAAAAATTCATCACATATAAAATATAATTAGGAAAATCAAATTTGGAGAGCGTGTTTGAATAGAAATGTAATTTAGAGAAAATCACTTTCCTAATTTTTTTTCAGTATAGTTGACAAGTCTTACTTTTTTCTTTCCATGACTAAATAACTTCCCACATCCTCAACGTTCTACTCTAATTGATACAAGGGATACAACAATTGAAAACAAATGTTATAGTGTACGCTGTTATTACTTCCCATGCAGAATTCTAACTTTTAGGCCTCTTAAATATTATAAAAGAGTTTTTAAATTTTTCAGTATAACATGAGACCACCAATTATTCAAAAGATAAGAACATTTTATTACTGTAATTAAAAAATAAAATATAAAAAAGGAAAGAACATTTTACTAGTGCAACAAAAGAACAAAACCGTCTTTTAAAGCAACTGTCCATTATGATAAATAGATCCTAAAAAGATACATTTTAATTAGCCAAATAAATTTCATATACAAATTAATATCATTATATACAAATATAATACACAAATGTATATACAGGTTGGGGCAAAAGATTTATAGTTGTGAGATCACCAAACACAGAGTTTATTCTTGTATTATTATTCATTAATTATTGTATTATTTTCCATATGAACAACTGTAAACCTACTTTGCCCCACCTTCTATATCATTATTCCAAAGAACAATCTGTCTTTTAAATTGCAGTTTTTAATTTTATACAGCTGTGTGAAATGTGAGTTAAGACTTGCTTTTCAAGTTTAATGTGTTCTGTATATATAACACAACAGAAGTATTTCTCAATGTAAAAATGTCACTTGAAACTCAACACACATTTATCATATAGAATTCATGTTGGATAGGGCTCTGGTATGTTCTGGATTGGACTGGAAAACTCATGAAAACTATCTTACACTATAACATTACTACAGAGCTTAACCATCTCATATAACTGTGTTTCTGTGGAATCTTTGCATAGATTGCTACTTTGAATAATGATAACACCTTAGAACAGCTAGAAAATAATCAGATATTTATTTCCCCTCCCTACCAGGATTTCATGGGAATCACTGTGGCCTGGAAAGGGGAGGTGAAGCATAAGGAACTGAGAGGCCCTGGACTCTGGCCAGTGGAAAATTCCAAAGATGCTGCTAAGTTGGGTTGGGTGGATAGCTATTATCCCTTTTTCACTTTTCCAGTCCCAGAGATTAGGCTGCCTGCTCCTTTTTTTTGTCCCCACCACTTTTTGCTTGTGTTCAGTCTCACTTTCTCCCTTCCTTGGTTCTTCAAAGACAGGAACAGAACAGAACTGAGTCTTAGAATTTTTCCTTTGTTCCCTGTCTCCAAAGCAAGTACACAACTCTGGGTTTTTACCATAGTCTTCACTGCTGACAACAGTGATAACACAGAGTGACTACAACTAACAAAAGGAAAAGTACACTGTGGTGTTTGTGGTAGTTGCTGCAATAGAAACAGAAGTAAGGTCCAGATCTGTCTTAGCACTAACTCTCTCCACTTCTCTTATAACTCCAGGTCTCTCTTGTGAAAAGAATGAATGCCACACTGAAGCAAGGGAGGGAAGTGGGTATTTTTGTAAGGGAGAAACATGAACTACAGTAGCAAGCCAGAGGGGAGAGAGAGGGGAAATCCCAAAAGACCTCACCCAGGGGATAGCAAAAGATTGGGGCAGCCATTCAAATATATGTAAATCTGAGGACACACCAAGGCTGGAGTCTGCTTATATATCCAAATTCAGATAATACATTACTGCACTTTTTACAAGGCAACAACATGCAATCATGCAATGTTAATTAAGGCTGCATGCCTTCTCAGTGCCAATTGCCACACACATTTCTGGTATGATACTGCCACCTGCAGGCCAAAAGGAAGCCGTTCAACTGGCTGGTCTGTTCAGGCTCAGAGTGATTTTCCTGCTTGTAAGCATCTACTGCTTCATCAAGGAAAGAACAGAAGTCCACCAATGTCCTTATTTCAGCTGAAACCTTCATCTAATACAGGATTGTCATCTGAATTTTCTGTGAATTTCATTAAACTGTGCTTGTCTCTAGTATGTCAGCATAAATCAAAGATGAATGTAAAATAGCTGAGATTATATTAAAAGCACATCTGAGAAAAACCCCAAGTATTTTCATTGAATACTCATCCCTTACCTGTAAATAAACCAGTAAGATAAAAATTCAGTTCTATGGGACTGTGCTGAGTCTTACTGTTTCAAGGGATAAGTCTCAAAAAAACATCGCTAACCAAAATCAAGCAAACAAGGTAGAATAATTCCTCCAAAACTTGAGAATATTTAAATTAACAAAAGTAACAAACCTTAAACTATAAAGTTTGAAAGAATCTCTATTATTATTTATAAAGTTAAATTCATAACATGGGTACATTCAGTCAATGACATTTTAGCACATAGAATTATCACAGAAAGTTCTCTAAACACTACAAAAGGCTGCTGTTTTGGGTACACCATTTCTTTCTGATATTTATCCAGAATTGCTGTTTTAAGTCGAAAAGGAAAAGAATGTGCTTGTAGAAATGGGAAGCTAACATGAGAGAGATCTCTTTTTATCGGTGTTAAGAAATTTGCCCTTATACACACAGGATGTTTATGTACCCATCACAGGAAAAACACATTTGAACCATTTTTTCTTTATTGAAGATAAGTAGTAAAGTATAAAAACATTCTTGGAAATGATAAAAACAAATTTAGGACTGTGGTTCCCTCTAATGAGGGAGGGAGGAGCAGGAAATATTGGCAAGTATACACAGGACTCCAATTGTACCTATAATTCGTTCCTTGAGCTGAATGGTGGGTTTGTGAGTGTACTTTATTTTATCTCTGTTCTATGTATATTTGAAATATCACATTTTTTTTCCTGAAAAACAGCTAGTAGCTGGTAGAAGATGAACAAAGGAGAAAT